AAGAAGAAGAAGAAGAAGAAGAAGAAGAAGAAGAAGAAGAAGAAGAAACAATGCCATCTCATTTTCTCACATCTTGCTACAAGTGTGTACACTCAGAAACTTGACATTCCCTCTCTCCATAAGTTTGTCTGAGAATGAGGCTTAAAAATAGAAACTACTTTTAGAGGAATAAAAGAAAAACAGAGAACAGATTTCAGCATACTTCGGATCAAAGGGACTGGATGGGATCTTTGAAAATCCCATATATTCTAATGAGAATAATATATTGCCCAATATCACTGATTTTCATTTAAAAGTCAATGGAATTCAGTGGAACTTTCTTTCTAAGTAGATCACTTATCCATTAAAATGAATGAGACTTAAAAGCAGCTAATTTTACGGGGGGGGGGGGGGGGGGGCCAAAATTTTTACTTCCTCAATTTTTCCATTTTAAGAAAAAAAAATGATCCTAGTATGTTAAGCATATACTTCATCTTCAAAAGGAGATGACTTTTCTAGGTTTCCTTTTAAAAATTCTTATAGTACTTTATTGTAATCTAATAAAAACGATCCCAAGAGAATACTGTACAGAAATTTCAAAGTATAATTCTGATAACTTGGCCAAAATTTTATATTTCATACTCATATCTTTCTCAAGATATGAGTATGAAATATCTTTGGGAGAGCTTCTGCCCCCATCCCCAGAATCAAATATCTTTATAAAATTATGTATAGCCATGTTGAAGATGGGATGTAAAAAAATATTGTGGGATTAAATGTAATGGGTGTTATACAGGGAGTCCTCGACTAATGAACATAATTGAGCCCAAAGTTTCTGTTGCTAAGCAAGACCTTTGTTAAATGAATTTCCCCCTCATTTGATGAGCCTTTCTTGCCATAGTTGTTAAGTGAATCACTGCAATTGTTAAGTTAGTGACATGGCTGTTAAGTGAATTTGGCTTCCTCATTGACTTTGCTTGTCAGAAGGTCACAAAAGGTGATCACATGACCCCAGAACACTGCAACGGTCATAAATATGAGTCAGTTGTCCAGCATTTGAATTTTGATCACGTGACCATGGGGATGCTGCAATGGTCATAAGTATGAAAAACAATCATAAGTCACTTTTTTCAGTGCCATTGTAACTTTTGTCACCAAATGGACCATTGTAAGTCGAGGACTACCTGTACAAGACAAGGAACCTTGACCAAAATGACCAATAAAAATGCACCGAAAGATATTTGAGAGGTAAGCAGTCAGATACAATACATACATAAATTTACAAGAATAATAAAAAGCTCACCACCAAACCTCCTGCATTGTAACAATACATTCTTTTCACGCCTCTAAGCCAACCGAATAATGGGCAGCATAACATTCTTCAAGTCAGATAGATTAATACAGCTGTATTAAACCAAGAGCAACTCACATAATGTGCCTACATTTTCAGCCAACGATGATAAATATAATACTGACCCACTGTCAAAGTATACATACAATAGAAATAAAATCACAATAAATAAAAAAGCAGAAGCCAAGAATATGAAAAAAAAATGATGAAGATGAAAATAAAACAATAAGTAGTAAAGTAGAAAGCATCTCAAAAGGATACAGAATTTAGTGGAAGAAGGAAAAACACTCAGGGCAAGGTTAAAAGCCTATTTCGTATTTGTGCTTTTCCACTGAAAGGCATGAATTTCATGAATAAAACTATTGGCTTATTTAATATATACTTGTGCATAAATCTTCGCTGATCCTAGTTGGGAAAGGATATCTCTACAACTCTATCCATCCTTACCTCTGAGGTCAGCCCTAGTGCGGTGTAAATTGGACCACAGGACTTAAGGAAAGTAGTAGTGATTAGGTCATAAGAAGGTTTGGGGATGAGGTTTTTGTTGTTGTAAGAATCAGTTGAGAAAAGTTAGGATGTTTAGTGTAAAAGGGGCATCAGTAGTCCTTCCAAAGCTGCTTTTTCAGGAGGCCACTGGACCTTCTGGTTTTTTTTGAAGATGTTTCGCTTCTCATCCAAGAAGCTTCTTCAGCTTCAGCCCTTTCTCAATGGAGGGGGAGGAATATGACATCATCTATGTCCAGTCTACAACACAGTCCTTGCAACAGTTCCAAGAAGGTTCCACATCCATTTGCACTACTCCTCCAAGTGGCCTCAATGACCCTCTAAAAGAGGGCAAATGACCAGCTGTCTGCAAGGAGTATAAATCCTTCCATTCCCCACTATCCAGTCAGAGCTGAAGAAACTTCTTGGATGAGAAGCAAAATGTTTTCTTGTAAAACCAGAAAGCCCAGTTGCCTCCTGAAAAAGCACCTTTGGGACAACCATGACCTGAATGACCGAGAATCTCCATAGACATCACTAGTCCTTGTTTTGCAACCATGATTAGGAACAGCATCTTGGTCATAAACCAAGGTGGTTGCTAAGTGAAATCATGATTATGTTGATGATCTTAATTTAACTTCCCTTTGCTTTACAGACCTGCAAAGGTTGTAAATCCGAGTCATAGAGTTCCTTTTTCATCACAGTCACAATTGCAAATGGTTGCCGTACAAGGCAGTTTCCCAAAGTGGGATTTACCTGTATGCTGTACCATTTCCTTTAAACTTGGAAAAATTGCACCCTTGCAATTTGCCACGAAATTTCATTAGAGTACTTCGAGATAGGTAGGTATGAAACATTGATGGGACACATCCTATGAATTGTGGCTTGTACATGTTTCATCTAAGAGAGCCATCCCAACTTCTATGAATTTTTTGTATTTACCCATATCTTTTATGGCTTCTGTAGGGAGGTGCCAGAGGTCACATATGCACACATATATACTTTTTGAACTATGATCTCCCGTGTAGATGTCTTTTGTGTTCATCCGTGTGTAATATTATGGCATTACTTTGATATGAAAGAGTTGGCAGCCTGCAGTCTGAGACAATGTTTCGGTAACTGAGCTGTCAGTTAGCATATTGAATTCGAGATCCACAGCCCCCTTATATATCAAACCCTACGTGCTACTCGTTAAATGCTGTAGATGTTGAGGCTATCTGATGAGCGATGAGATAGAAGGGCAGATGCTAATTACTATAATTATTATTCCTTTATAATTAAGATTGGGAGTGAAAGTGTGGGAGTGGGAAAGCATTTAAAAGAATGTAGTGCATTATTCATAAATATTGGAATGAGTTGGAAAATGTCCACCAATTTAAATGCTAGGGGGAAAATGGTTTCAAAGCATTTGTCATGGTGCCTGGTTTCCACTCATTTCCTGTATGGAACTGTTCAAGCTTCTGATCACCTTCAAATCAAATTATGGACATATCCATCTTTTTTGACTCTGAATTCAGTTACTATTTTATACATCAAAACTCTCTGAATAGTGAACCTCTTGGGCCCCCAGGACAGCAACCTGAGCATTGTTTTCTTTCCAAACCTTTCCAAAATGTATCAGCAACGTTTAATTTTTAGGAGCATTTTTCTTGCTTAAATCTATTTAATATAATTTTAACTGGATTCAAAGCAGATTATATTTCATTTCAGGCCTGACGTACCGCTATATTCTCATCTCACCTACTTTTTGGAGGCTGGTCTTCAGCTTCAAAAAGGTTTTATATTTAGTAGCATTGATAATGTTACCTAGTTTGGTAATGAAACGTCTACAGGAAAACAACTTCAGAGAGAAACAAGGACCCTGCAGGTTATATATCCAAATCCTAGAATATCTTATTAACTACAAAAAGATGGTTTCCCAAGCTTATCCATTTGTACTAATGTCTGAAACAATAACTAGTGAGTTTCTTTTCTTTTCTTTATCTAATGAAAGGATAATTTTATACATTCAGAAGTGACCTGTACTGATTTGAGCAGAATTAACTTTCACCAAACTATGGGCAAAACTGCAATCTTCTATGCAGTCTTTTTATAACTTTATTCAGAAGCAAATATTTGGTTTAATGGGACTTAATCTCAAGATAATGTTTGTAGTATTGCAAATTTGTGATCCTGTTGGTTTGCTTCTTCTAAACTTTGAAGTAAAGATTGACTTACAGTCTTAGAAGGTCACTGAATACAGTGAAGAGTCAGGAACTTTATGAGCTAATTTAATTTTGATTTTTCTTTGAGCAGTTTAATAGGCCCAATAACAATGTCCCCATTTCTTTTTATAATAGAGAAACCATTGCTTGTGACTTTTGTATCAGGCAGCTCCTCTGGAATCAGTCCAAAGCTGCCATGATCAAGCTCTTGATATGCTTTACCTACCATATTTTTACTAGTTCTTATGAGAGGTAACTGATCCTTTGTCACTAGTTTATCATCTAGATCAGTGTTTCTCAAAGTGTGAAGCCTTGGGGTGGTCCCCCAAGACGAGAGGTGGGATTCAACTGGTGTAACAACTGGTTTGGTGAGCACGTGCACAGCATTTAAAAACCACCCATTTTCAGCTCTAAAACTTACCTTCTGCTGCAGCCACGATGAGTGAAGCCGCTGAGGTCCAGCATCTGCTGTGCCTCACGAATCAGCTGGGCTGCAAAACATGGAAATAAAGGACAGACTAGGGCAGGGGCAGTTCCAACTAATCACTGGAACTACCAGTTCACTGGAACCAATCCAAACCAGCTGAATCCCACCTCTGCCCAAGACCCTCACAAGAGACTGCAAAATCAAAATTATTTGTCAGCTTACACTGAAAAATAATTACAATATTAAAATGCCATCAAACAATCATGAAAAGCGGCATGAATGCAGCTATTATAATTTTTCACATGGTAAATATCATGTTGATATTACTTTATAAATATCTCAATGTGGCAAACATACCTAATACACCTTTCTCCTCCTATTTTCTCCACAACAAACCACCCTGTAAGGTGAATTTGGTTGAGAGAGAATGACTGGCCCAAAGTTACCCAGCTGGCTTTCATGGCTAAAGTAGTACTAGGCCTCATTGTCTCCTGCTAAGCCAGCATCTTAATCACTAAGCCACAATGAGGCAAAAATAATGGCATGCACACGTTATTACCATGTCCTGGCAACATCATGACCAAATTTTATCCTTATGTGCTTGGATGATACCAGATGGTTTGCCGTCAGAAATACAAAAATGGCAGAAGTGCTGAAGGAAAACCTCACAAGTATGGATGGATTTCTCAACTAAGCACAGTGTGTAGATTTTTGTAGGTTCCTTTCATATTTATATATTTGCTTGATCTAATTCTGTTATTTTGAGCCACTTCTGTAAGAGTGTTGGCATCATGTTAAATAGAAAGCCTCTACTTGCCCATCTGGAATCTGCATCTCTGAATGAGCAAACGGAAACGAGAGCTGTCTATTCAGAATTAATTCCTTTGGGGTTTCAGAACTGCTAAATGTTTGCTGGACTGTGTTCAGATCTAGCCACCAAAGTATTATGAAGCACTGCTGCCTGCTTTGGAATAACACAACAGTTGTCAGCCCTAATTGAGAAACGAAACGGATGACAGGTAGCTCATTTGGCTATTACTGTCACTTTTTATATGAGATGGAGTGAGATTTGTGAAATTCATTCAGCCGTGGAAGTTTATTTTTGTCTGGATTAGATCATAGTCAGTAGTAACACTGAAAACTACTGGCAAATAAAATCACAAGAAAGGAGCACTTCCAGTGAGGGCCTGGAGGGGGGGAGGTAAACAAAACTGCAAGGTGACAACTGTGGTGTTGTGATTCAAGCCACACTTATTTTGTATGTTTATATCATTGGCATGTATACAAAATGGGACTTCCATTGTAATTTTGCAACCCCAATCTTGCACACTGATTCTCCACAGGATCCCCTGCTGGAAATTATAAATATAGTTGTCTCTAACAACCAGGAATAGTCATTAGGAATTGGGCTTAACATTATTTCAGCATATTCATTAGTGGCCTTAGTGGGAGGGAAAAAAAACCTAACTCAAAATGGATTAAAATTTGCAGATGGCCCCAACAGAAAGGAAGGATACTCATAAATAAATGGTAATTAGTTATATTTATATAAAGAAATACAAATAATATATTGATTATGAGTGGTCCTTGGTGCTCTCTGAGCTTGCTTGTTTTCTTGCAGACGTTTCACTATCCAAACTAGGTAATATCATCAGTGTTGGTAAATAGCAATCCCCCTTATTTTGCTAGTGACTAGCCCTGATGATGTTACCTAGTTTGAGTAATGAAACATCTGCAAGAAAACGAACAAGAGAGCACCCAGAACCCCTCATGTCAACCCGTGCATTAAGGAGCGTGCATAACCGCACCAGCGTGCCTCCCATCCCTGTCCTACTGTTCCCACTTATTCTTACTCATTTGTTACGTATATACTTATACCTGTATATACTTATATGCTTATATGTTATGTTCATACTTATACTTGTTTTCTCATATATGCTTGACAAACTGAACTAAATAAATAAATAAAAATAAACTCTGAGCTACAAATATTCTCTTTTATTAATATGTTGGTCAAGCAAGTCGGGCTTCCTTCATGATTCTTTTGTTTCCCCCTCCTGGGGAGAAATAACATAGTTTTATAAATAGTGCATTGCGATGGTCTCTCTTTCCCTACATTCTTCTGAGGTGATGGTAGGAGGGGGAACTTTTTTCTAATCTTTTTTTTTTTTTTGAACCTGAAGGTAACCTTATGCTACGTATAGTCTACCTGGTTTTCAGAGGGCCAAATCCCTGCCACTACTTTCTCTTCT